GTGGCTAACTCCCCTTGGTTAACTACCAGTGGTCCACCAACCCGGTTATAGCCCCGGATGACGGCTTTTCGTCCTCTCATGTTGGTGGGAACACCCCTTCACAACATGTTGAGGCAGTGAGTAGGAGCTGTTAGTGAATAGGACTTCCTTAGCAGAGGCTATTTGAGACGCTTGGTCATATGGGAGCATTTCGTGAGGTGAAAGGGTAGGGTGACCAACCGCAACCCCAGACATCCATACCCGACCATTATTGCTGAGGCTTTTGGAGGCATATATATCACTGAGCTGAGCTGGGTGTATTATAAGATAGCAACGGGGTACCACTCGGTTCATTGATGACACTTGCTTTGGCAAATGATCGAACCACAAATTATATTTAATCATACCGCATCCCTTTCATTGTTTCCGATTGATGATTGTCGGTAGAAAAAAACAACAACAACAACACTTCAGTGATACGATCATCATATAACCTGTCGTCACCTCCATCGGCTGCATTTTTCACCTCGAATCATCTGGTTCAGTTAAACTATCCTTACTGCAGCTCTGATATATGTATATTCGGTCTCTTCACACACACACACACACACTATCTTTTCCTTCTTCCACCCCCACCCCACCTTCTCACAGGATGCTGCGGTGTACGGCTCATGGGTATTCTGGTTCGGATTAATTCTTATTCCACCTCTCTGTTTGACTCGTGATGTTGCTTGGAAAATGTAAGTTGTTGACCGTTTCCCCTCCTCCGATCGTCTCCCCATGTTCGTGATCAGTGTTGTACTGTCCTGTTCTCCGGATTTCCATCGGTCACCCCTATAGACAAGGAGCTTCTGTGTCTGTGTGTGTGTGTGTGTGTTTGTGGCGAGTGTAAACCCTGAAACCAAGTGCCCTTTTTGTTGACAAACACTGGGTGCTTGTGGTCCTCCTCCCCCACCGCCGCCGCCGCCCCGGGGGTGGGGTGGGGATGAAGTGAAATTTCATTCAGTTGAAACAGAATGCTCCTTAGTGATATTTCAGTAGCACGATTTTGGTCATCGTCTATCGGTGTGTGTGTGCGGATCTCCACCGCCATCACCAAATCACTGTGCCCGAACAGGTCGCCATTCAGAATCGACCTGATGACATTTCTGTGCACTAATTTCTGTTTCTATCCAATCCAATCTGTATCCCACACCGCCTCATATTGTTTACCACGTTAACCATTTTCACCCACCCACCCCCCCGCGCCGATCCTCTTCGTCAGGGCAAAACGAAGTTTCTCCGGTTCACTTCGTGAACGTGTCATGCAAATGGAACAAATGAAGGGTGATCCGGATCGCATGATCCGTGCCAGCTTCAAATCCACGTGAGTGCCTCTCGCTCGCCTTCCATCTGTACTCGAGTAGTCATCTCTCTCTCTCTCTCTTTTTCTCCCACGTGCACTTGTTTAGACTGTGACGTTTTGTTGTACGTAATTCCGTCCTTTTTGGAATTCACATTTCGTTCCAACTCATCTATTCGTTCCTCGAATCACATTGCATCATTCATCATTTTGACGTGCGTGTTGTATACCGTATGGGGGGGGGGGTATTTTAAGTTGGAAATTGAAATGTTCCGTTT